AAGCTGAGTTTTAGGGCTATAGGAAGGTGCAGTGGTTCCCACCTAATTAATGTTCTTCTAATGGGATTTTCGTCTCTGGAGTGCGTAGAGGCACGCCAGTAGAAGCATCTTAAAGTTGCAAGTAATCTGCTTGCAATAAAATGTAAGAGAAAAGTAATGTTACCCTTCAGTGATAAAAGGGAACCCCCCCAGGAAGCCTCCCCAGGCTGGTTTCTTCCGCTTATAAATACATGGACAGTTGTGAGCAGATGTAGTTTCTCTGGAGCAAAGACTTATTCCACCTGAGCAATAGTTCCCGAGGCTGCAGGGAACCATTTCTCATTCAAGGCCTAAGCCCGGTGCCTTCAGGACTCAGTTGTCTGCTGGAATGCCTTCACCTCTGCTGCTGGCGACCTGTCAGGAGCTGATCAGATTACTTTTATTAGGAATGAGGGGGAAGGGAGGGGAAGGGGAGGAGGAAGGAGGAAGACTGAGGGAGAAAGTGAGAGAGAGGGAGGGAAAGAGAGAGGGAGAGGAAGAGAGAGGAAAAGGGAGAGAGGGTCAAGAGAGGGGGAGGGAGGGAGAGGGAGAGTGGGAGGAAGAGAGAGAGAGAGAGAGAGAGAGAGAGAGAGAGAGAGAGAGAGAGAGAGAGAGATCAATTTATTACCCCAGATTCAGGTAACTTAAAAATACACCAGCTGGATTTGGGGATTAACTAATTCGTTGTTCACAAAGAATCAATGATCAGCTTTTACACTCCTGTTCCATTCTACATCAGAAAGTTGTTTAATACTGTCGGAACATCACTTTGCCCCTTGGTTTTCAGCATTGATGCTTTCTTTGTCCAAATGCGTGTCCACAAGACACTGGCGGCATTCCTGTGCATCTGAGCGCCCGGCCTGCCACAGAGCCTGCCAGGCAGGGGCCGAGCTTTGCAGAGTTCCCAGAATCCCGAGTTTCTCATTCTCTTCCCGAGTTTCTCATTCTCTTCCCGAGTTTCTCATTCTCTTGCATTTACTGCTTGAGGCTTCTGGTTGTAACGTTGGACTCCACTGACGGCCAGCCTTCGCTGGACACAGTGAGGCGTCAGTCTGGCTTAACCTTTTGCATCCCGGCCTCTGTTCACAGCAGCTAAGGAAGAAACGTCCTTTGGGAGCCGCTGAGTTCTGTGGTACTGCAGGCAGTTCTGTGAAGACCCAGCGCTATGCTGAGTGAGACGGACAGGGTGTTGTCTTGCAGAGTCCTTGGCAGGATTGGCCGCCTGAGTGCACCGGACTGCGTCTGCACAGCCGCTCTCTGTCCCGGGTGTCTGCGGACCAGCGCAGGCAGCCCTCTCCCGGGGTCGGGCGGCGGCCTGGCTCCCCTGCTCTCGGGACCGCGGGGCCGGGCGGCGCGCTGCCCAGAACCCCGGCCAACCTCAGGCGGCCCCGGGGGCTGCCCGGAGGAGGCGCCCCGGCTCCGCAGACCCGCGGCTGCCCCTTCGGCTCCCCGCGCCTGCGGCATGCATGGGTAGAGGTGGGGAAATCGCCAGGTTAGCACTTTCCCGCGTGTAACTGACAGGGACAGAGTTGTGTGTTATCGGACACATAAGCTGGTATAATTTATAGGGTATACATGAAGCAGCTGTCTGCCTTGGCAGCTTGCCATGAGCAAGCCTTGTTCCAAGCACAAACCACACTTTAAAATAATTAGTTACTAACTAATGAGATCCAAAAATAAGTTGTCAAAATAGAAGAACGGGGTACACTCTTGAGTGACCAAGGACTTTTTTTTTCTTTTAAATCCATTTCGCAGGGGGGCTGGGTAGGAATTAGTATTCTCCAAAACCATTAATTAGTGCTCTTTCAGTACTGCCTGCGGCCCTACCTCTTCTCACTGATCCTTTCTCTGAGCTGATGGGTATTTGGAGAGTTTGGTTGCTTTGTTAATATGAAATCCTTTGCTTGGCGGGGAAACCAACTCCAAAAAAAAACCAAGTTTGTCAAGGAACTTGGGTGACTCTCTCCTCACTGGTCTTAATTAATTAACTCCTTCTCAGTAAGACCCATCTTAACAAGATTCTCATCCTTCTCCTCCTCCCCCCCCCCATTACTTTGTTTCTGGTTTGGTTTTAGCTGAGTAAACTGCACCCTAATTTGACCAGTGTTTTGAGGGAGACCATTAGAATGTAGCAAGTTCCTCCTCATCCAAACTAGTTGAGAACATAGTGTGTTGATTAAATATTTTTGTTAAAGCTTTTGGTCTACATCGAATTTAACAATTTTCAAGGAAATACTAGATATTAAAAAAAAGTGTCATGTGTGTGACTAACCCAGCAGTGATTGTGATTGAGTACACTGGTGACATCTAGACACGGGCTCACTGCCAAATCAGTTTACTCAGTAAATAAACAGGGTCTGAGTGCCGAGAACTGGCATGGGGCATGTCTGCATGGAGGTCCCAGTCTGGAGGGGCGGCGGCCTCCAGCGGAGATTTCCGAGGAAGAGTTCATTTTCATAATTGGACTGGGGTTGGCGCCTGTGCGATTCAGCCCTTCATGGTGTATGAGCCTCACTAGTCTGTCCAGTCAGCAGAGACTGAAGAGCATGGGGATTGGCCTGTGCAAGCATCCTGGAGCCTCCTGGCAAAACAGAGAGCCCAAAACAGAGGGCCATCAGCCTGCGGGGGGGTGGGGGGGGGTTTGGCACCTCTGTGTGTGTGTGTGTGTGTGTGTGTGTGTGTGTGTGTGTGTGTGTAGCTGCTCTCCTGGTGTACTTTCAAAGGGGATATTGGAGAGCAGGAAGGGCACTTGTCTGGTACAAGGCCTACTGGGTTCCCTCCCCTGAACCCCACCAAGAGTGATTCCTAAGCACAAAACCAGGAGTATACTCTGAGCATTCCTGAGTGTGGTCCAAAGAACAAAAAGAAAAAATAATAATAAAAATTTGGACCAGTTTTGGGAGGATAATGAAAGAATTCCAAGATTGTTAAAGCAAAAAGGCATCACTGAAAATTGCTTGAGGTTCCATTTTTGGAGTTTATAAAAAATAAATAAATAAATAAAAGGCATGGAGGGTCTCTGAACCTCTGATATTGAATGTGTGCTTCTGAGTTTAAGGGTAATTTGTTCGGGTGCGTGTGTTTATATAACTTCACTCCTCTGCAAGGTTTCCTCCCTTTGTGTGTTTCTCTTGTCTGCCAGAGGAGTAGGGACATTGGCGCACAGCTGGGGGTGCTATTCTGGCAGCCAGGCCAAAGGCCACTGGGTGCTGGGGCTCTGCTAAGGAAGCTCTGTTGGCCAGTGAGAGGGATGTTTCTGAGTTTGGAGTGAATCTTACAATTGATATGTAAATTTGACTTGGAGCTTCTTCTAGGAAAGCCCTTCTTAAATGGTTGTATTTTCCAGTCAGTGATACTGGATAATCAAGGAAAAACAGAGGAAGGGCTGATGCTGAGCCACAAGGCCAAGCTGGTTCTTAGATTTCTAATCACTTGAATTCCACTGAAGGGGAATTTCTTGTACATTGAAGAAAAGAGTTTGCAGTTCCCTTGCAAATATGAGTTAAGATGTCTAAAACTATTGCACCTGGAATTTAAATTATTTCTAGTCTTTCCTCTTTTAGCAGTTACTTATTTAGATTTTCTAATTGTTTTGATTGAACTCAGTGGTATCTGCTAACTGTAGGAAACAAGCAGATGATGAAGAAACATCATGTTTGAGGCAGTCTTGATAGCTTGAAGAAAACATGCTAAAGAAGACACTTTTGCTTGTTTTCTGGTGTCCTTTGTGAGTGTAAAGCCTGATGTGAAAAAAAAAAAATCCTTGGACCAAATAGAGTGAAAATTGATGAATGATGAGTTAGGTCAGTTATCACGTAAGTGAAGGTAGTGAGGGGGATGGTAATTGACTTGTGTTCAGCAGTTTTAATATTTTGCAAGTGGTCTCAGTCTTTGCTGTCAGCTGTCTTCTGACTTTTTCTGGGGGTCCAGAGCATGATATTCCATTACTTTTGTTTGTTTTAAAAATATAACTCAAATGAATAAAAATGTTCTCAGGTTTTATTGAATTCTGGAGAGTGTGGTCTAAATGAATGAATTAGAATTAAGAGGCATATTCCAATTCAGTTGTGTTGTGAGGGGAGCAGAAATCACCGTCTGCTTTAGCCTCAGTTATACTTTGATTCAGAACTTTGAGTTGGACTTTGATTTTGTCAGGCATACTTCAAAACTTTGAGATTTCCCAAAGTAAGCTAGATTTTCCTGTGCCCCGGGGAATACTGGAAGGACCCGGGGATGTGGTAATAATAGCCACAGATAAAATTGGGCCGTGCTTTGCTTTTGCTTTTGTGAAGAAGGTAGATTTTCAGGGGGCCTCTGAGTGAGGCAGCCTACACGATGTTTATGGGACTGTGGGCGGGCTGTTCAAAGCTGACTTCTGAGTATGCAGTGCTTGCTACTTCAAGTGCTGAGGTGCTGGGTTTTGAAGAGGGGAGGGGCGTGGAGGTTGCTAAGCAGACCTCCTAACTGTCTCCCATCCATGGTGTGATTTTCCTCTGAAAAGAGGGAGGTGTAGAACAGATAAGTTTGGATACCTCTGCTTCAAAACATTAATTTCTACTTAATCTTTTCCTGCTTTGGAAAGTTGTCTTAATGTCTCTTTTGACAAAGCTGGCCACCAGTAGCAACATTTGTAGATTTGGTTTATATGGCACTTGCATTCACCCTATAAACACAGCTGAAAATTGAGATGTTTCTGTTACTTAATAGCACATTTCCAGTGGGAATTTGGGAAATGTCTCACATTTATGGACAGGTTCCTCCCTCTATTTGGCATGTGGAGCCACTCTGGCTTGTAAGTTGAAGACAAACTTCAGGATGTCTTTGCAAGAAGCGCTCTGATGAGAGGTCTTATACATTTTGAATTTGTGAAGGCTTCATGATGCCATGATGCGTGATACCATGTCAGGTCAAGTGACATCTGAGTGAGATGGTCATGTCTCCCATCTGTACTGGAAACTGATGGCGCTGTTTGTTTGATTCAGGCCTTCCCTGTAGCAGAGAGCTGAAGTGATGAGAAGACACCATGGACGCCCAGTCCCACAGCTCCACGACCACTGAGAAGAAAAAAGTGGAGAACTCCATAGTGAAGTGCTCCTCTCGGACAGATGTCAGTGAGAAAGCCGTGGCCTCAAGCACTACTTCTAATGGTGAGCAGCCACGGGGATTGCCAGCAGCCAAGCCTCCAGACGTGTCTGTGTTCTCTGCATTCCTTGTGAATTAAGCGTTTGCACCTGGACCAGTACCTACTCTGTGAGAGACTAAAACAAGCAGATGGGACGGGGTGGGGAGTGGTCTGGGTGGGCAGGCTTCAGTACACTGTTTTGGCATCAAAATTACCCATTTTCTTCCAAATTCTCTAATTTGAGATGTAAATGTGATAGCCTATTTATTATAGGAACTTCTTGTTTGGGCATTTTGGAAATCACCTTGATTAGACTGGCAGGAGTTCAAAAATACTTTGCATTGCACATGGAAAGTCTGAACTAGTGGAATAATTTGTTATTGGTTGTTATAAAAAACACAAAAGTTGCCTTGTCAAAATGAGTGGCAGGAATTCTCCCTCCCCCAACTTTGAGTAGACCATGGTAGTATTTTAAAATTTAAGAACTTTAAAGGAACGTGTATATCTGATGCAGGTTTTACAGCTGGTGTATGAAATTTTAATTTACTTAATTGTGTGCAGAGATAACACAGAGCCACTGTTTCTTCATGCTGTATTTTAAAAATATTTTCAGCAAAGTGTTGAGAGGCATTTCAATTCAAGCATGGAGCATTGAAAATAAATTCCAGAATCCCCTCTGGTAAAAACAGATTGAATAGGTTAATGGAATCTTCACTTCCTTTTCCTGATTTTCCACTCTTGTAGGTCATTAGGGCCTTTGCTTTTATAGGTTTCATAGTCAGCCTGGGTTTCTCCCTGCTGTCCCTTGGGAAGAATGAGCTGGGTCCTGCTCCTCATTTTTCCACACAGTGTCTCTGGACATAGTGATTTACATAAGTCCGCCTACTCCTTCCCTCTCTGGGGGGCTTCTATTTTGTTTCAAGGATTTCCCTAGGTTGCCTGACACTTGGGAGGCCGAGTCTCCTTTGGCAGGGACCTGCCACTAGGGACTGTAAGGTTAAGGGCAGATAAGCTGTCAAAGAGTGGCCCTTCTCCTCGGCCCTGGGGAAGTTGGGTGGAGCTCATGGTGTTGCAGTGGCCTCCCCGTGAGAATGTGCACAGCACCATGCCTCACTTGGGCGGGGGCCAGGCATAGGCTAATGGTCTAGTTGGGAACTCACCCTTAGGGAGGGAGTTATGTCTGAGTTAAAACGACGACTTTGTGCACTTGTAAAAATATATCTGTGTTCCTTTGTCAGAACGAAATCGAGCTTACAAAAAGCCTTGTGTTACCCCCTTTCTTTTTCCTAGAATTTGTTAAAATTAGACTCATTTGTTATTTCAGACATCGAATCAGTATATGAATATAGGTTACTGATTCAAAGTCAGTGTGAAGTCTACTAACCTTCTGGCGTCATGCTCCCCACGGCAGCACCTCTGTCTGCTTCCTGGCTCGTGCACTGTGAGTGGTCAGGTGTGGGCACGAAGGAGCAGGAGCGTTGGTGGGTCAGAACACAGGCGAGCCCAGGGGCATTGGTGGGGGCTCCAGAGCCTGCCGTCCTGGGGATGTCAGTGGTGACAGCAGTGATCTGGTAAGGCTGCCGCTGCTCCTGCTGCACCAGGGCCCTCCACACGTGAGGCCTTCCCTGCCCAGCCACTGGAACCTGTCATGATAAAGATCCTATGGCAGCCAGGAGCCATTGGAACACCTGCCTGTGGAGGAGCAGTCATGATTCACCAAGTAGACTGGTAGGCTGAGTTAACCACAGATTGTGGTGCCCTGAGCCAGGCCTCCCTCCTGCTCTCCTCAGCCTTACCCTGGCAGTGGCCCCTGTCTGGACAAACTCTCACCAGTCAGGTGTGGAGGGCCCATGCCGGAGCCATCGTGGTCTTAAGGTCCTGGCATTTGGCCATACTCCTGTTTCCTCTCATGAATTTAGCCCATTTTCTTTGGGAATAACATACAGTCCCCACCAAAGTACAGTCAGAATGATTGGATTGTAGCCCAACTGGTTGCACTCCTGGAAGCCAGCGGATACCTTAAAGATAGGCAAAAGTAAAACAGACAATTTCAAAAATTTTGTGCTTAATTTTTTTTAATGGCTGCTTTACGACATAGCAGTGCTGGTGATTAGAACAGCCCATTTCCCAGGGCTGTCTGCAGGCCCCTGTGCCCGCCGGGTCGTGTTTTCGAGGGTTCAGCCCTTTGTTCCGGAAGCACCTACCTTGGCCAGCTTCCTCCCATGCTCCAGCTCTGCTTGGGCTGGCCAATCTTGGAGCGTGTGCAGGGGGAGCTGCTCTGTGCTCCTGGCCTGTCTCCCTCCGCCTTCCCTTTGTCCCTGCCTTGCCCCCCACCAAACATTTCAGACAGGTCTGATAGCACTGAGGCTGTTCACCAAAAGGAAATGAAAATCATTTGGCTCTTACAGGCCATTTTGATTTGCTACTGATTCCAGGGGCCTCCTTCTTTACAGAGCTCTGAAATGAAGAGATTTGTCAACGGACAATTGAAAATTATTCCAGCACCAAGAATCAAAGGGGTGCAATCTATGTATTTCTCCCTCCATAATTTTCCTGATTAAAATAGAAAACAACCCCCAAAATGTTTCGTTATTGGTGCTGTTTTAGGTAGACTTAATTAACTTTTCCAGCTATTCTGACTGCAATTTGTTCCTGATTGTGAGCCTCCCAGCCAAGCCACACACATTCCAGAGCATGTTCTTGCAGATCTGTTTTCTTACTTGTCTCAGCTGAGTGTCTACTCCTAAAATAACATTCATACAGAGTTTTGTTTAAACACAAACACACAGAATCAAAGATAGGTTTCAGAAACCTTGAACAGTGTATTAAGTAAGCATCTGCTTTGTAACAGTAAAATGAAGAATGAAAGTGAAAAACTCCCTGACTCTTCTATGGGAGGAAAATAAGAGAATTCAGTTCTATGAACAGGCTGCAGGCTGCCCCAGGACCACGTGTTGAATGCAATCACTTCACTGCTCATTGGGTTTAAAGCTGACAAAACGATAAAACAGAAGATTTTTAGTTTTTTGTAACTTAAGTAAGTTTTCTGAATATTTCTATGTAAGTGATCTTTTTGGTGTTTAATAAGGTATACACATGTAAAGTTTGCATTCAGGTGGTTGGTGTTATTGTTTACTGCTAAATCTCCAAATCTGATAATATGTTAATATTATAAGTGTAATGCCTTACCAAATTATTTCCAGCATGGTCTGGATTGATTACTTTCTGAGCTATATGTGTTTTATAAATAAATAACTTTTCACAAATCTTGATCTTTCAATGTTAATATTTTCATTATTCTATATCATTTCCTAGAATGGCTTGCAAATACTGACTTTTTTTTTGTTTGAGTGTTTGGTTTCATTTTTGGCTTAAGATTTTTGGGGTGGTGACACTAATTTGATATTTTTCATTGACCTACTATTCTGCTTTAGAAAAGAAAAAAAACTAATGATTAAAGTATCTAGAGAATGGTCTTGGAGGATATTTAGTTTGACCTGAGCATTATTGGGAGCTTATTTAAAAGTGGTCGAAAGCAGAAATCATTAGCCTGATGGTGATACATTAAGAAACCAAAGCTGATAGATTAATAAGAGACAAAATTACCTGTTCACTTTGATTTTTAGTTTTGATACTTCTTGGCTTCAGATCATTCTTTAACTGTCTGCTCTAAAGGTGTAAAGAGAGCTATTCTTTGCTATCATACTTGTCTCCTTGATCTTTCTTACTAGTTTGTTTTTGGGTACGCTCCATGGTGCTGGGGGCACTCCCAGTAGTGACCTGGACCCCTGTCCACAGACTGTGCACCCGTTGGCCCGAGCCTTGGCACTCCTTGGCCTGTGAGTGGGCAGTGTCTGCAGACTCCTTCCCAGGTGAGGGAGGTAGCAGCTTAGGCATAAACAGCCCTGCGTCTTTTAAGTGCTTGACCGTTACAATGTCCAATCCCATTTCCTGGCACATGCTGGATGGAACAAACTGTGAGATAAAATAAATGTCACATTGTCACGTATGGGAATCCAGCACTGAGACTCATTTTTTGGCTTCCGTATCTGTTCAGCAGGGTCTCGATTTGGCCTTCCCAGAGGCCCTCTGCAGGGATCGAGGGAAGCGGCCCTGTCCCCTCTGTCAGCACCTTGGGTGGGAAGAATTCAGCAAAAGCCAGCATTATTTCTGGGACAAAGAATGGGGACAAATTTGATGTTATAAATCCAGAGTAGAAGGACTGCGTTTTCTTGAAAGTGCACATAGGTTTTGAAATTGAGGGAAAAAACTTGGCAAAAGTAATTTCGAATTTGTTGGTCTCTGAAAAATAGTTCACGTTGTTTCACAAGCCCTAAGTGTGGCCATGTTCACACATCTTACGAAAAATGGGTTCTTAAAAAGACAGGTTATTATTTTAATCTCATAATTTCAATGTCTTCTAACTCCCTTTAAAATAAGAAAATAGAAAAGATAATTTTGAGAAAATTTATAGTTGCTTTTTTTAGCTTTAAAGCTAACATAAATTGTACAACAGGACTTGAACTCAGCTTTTGGTGATTTGCTTTTCCTGGCATCAGCATTTCCTTATATATTAGTTATGCTCTTTCATGTGGTATTGTGTGATTTTTTTTTTTTTAGAATTAGATTTTTGAGATTCGAGATAACAGTACGGGAGGTAAAGTGCTTATTTTACATGCTGCAACCTGGGTTTTTTATGGGTTGGTTATTTTACAACCTGGGTTCAATCTTTGGCACTGCATATGGTCCCCCAAATACTGCTAGGATCATTACTGAGCACAGAGCCAGAAGTCGCCCCTGAGCACTGCTGGGTGTTCTGCCAAAACCAAAATAAAAGAGTGAGAGAATTAGATTTTATCCTATTTAAAAGAATCATTAAGTGCCATTACCAATGCTGAATGATCTGATTTTACTGAATTCCTCTGAATTCCAAAATCAGATGTCACCGAATTTCTGCAATCTCTGTATTTTCACTTTGAGCATATCGTCTTTCCTGTGGTCACCCAGGCTTGCAAAACACTGTGA